TGGGGGGTCTTGGGGCCCTCTTGGGTCGTTTTGGGGTGCCTCTTGGAGGCCTCTTGGGCGATCTTTTGGAGGCTTCCTGAGCTGTCTTGGAGCGTCGGGAAGCCGACAATGCGAGAGCGCCAACATCTTCCAACAACATAAATATAATAATGGAGTCTTGCCCTTGGGGCCCTCTTGGGAGTGCTCTTGGAGGCCTCTTGGGGCGTTTTGAAAACCTCTTGAGCCGTCTGGAGGCTACTTTGGCGTCTTGGACCGATACTTCGGCGATTCGGCGCCTTCGAGGACCGTAGTGGGGGCCTTTTGGGGCACTCTTGCCGCGTTTTGGGGCTTGTGTAGGCCCCCGGAGCCGCCTGGGGTTCTTGCGTATCTGGGTGGCGACCCACCCCCCGTGACCCACCCCCTGGGGCCCCCCTCCTGGGCCCCCCCCCGCCCTGGCGGGGAAGGGATCAAAGGGAAGGGCTTCCCTTCGACTCAGCTGCGACGTTGCTCAGTGTCGCTTTGGCTGGCGCGCTAAAGGAGGAGGGCCCAGGGAAAGGAGACGGGGGACGACGGAGACAACGATTGACGGAGACGACGAGGAAACGAGGGAGACGGAGACGACGACGGAGACGACGAGGAGACGACGGAGACGACACGACGACGACGGCGATCAACGGAAGAGCGTCTTCCGCACGCCGACAGGGTCGGCGGATTTCAGTTTGCTGGCACCTCTTTCTTCTCTCCCTCTCGCTGGCCTCAATCGACATTTTGTTGTACCTCTCTCTCTCTATTCTTATGTAACTCTGGATACATATACATATGTGTACATGTATAGGCTACTCTCTCTCAGCACACATGTGTGAAATCTTATTGTGTTTTCCTCGTCCCCTGATGGCGTGCACGGATGTTGCAGTCTCAAATCTCAGCTGGTGCCCTCTTCAGTTCCCGTGCGGATCCCAAAAAGGCACCGATCAGCCGGTGCCCTTTGCAGTTCCTGTGCCGACCCCACACAGGCACCATAATGCCAGGCGCTGTATTTCATGTCTGTTGCTATTTTGTGCTCAAGCTCCGATGACTGGGTGGGCGGATCCGATCCCAGCCTTGCTCGCAGCCGCCCGCGATGTGACGACGCTGGGGCTGCACTGGGGCACGGCATCGACTGCCTCCGCCTGTCCCGCGTGCCCGAGCCTGACCTGCGCGGCGGGGCCGACCTGCCTCGCTGCGCGCTGCTGGTGCAGCTGCCTGGTGGCGGAGCCGGTCAGGAGCCTCCTCCTCGTGGCGCTCATCTCCGCCGCGGGCGGCATCTGCTGCGGCCTCGTCGTGGGCTACGACATCGGCCAGGTGGGCTGCCCGAGGCGGTCGACTTCGGCGAGTTCGCCGGCACGGACGACGGCTGCAGGAGCGGCAGATGCGCCGCCACGGGGTCCGACTACCCTGGCTCAGCTGAGGGATGTTCACGCTTGACATCAAGCTGCCGCAGGTTTTCGTCACCGACTCCGATGACGCGAACGGGTTGGTGTGGTATCATGTACTTCTATATCGTGTGTCTGGTGGTCGTTCGCTTCGACTCGCGCCTGGCAGGGGCATGCACGTCCATGACCTCAATAACAGCGGCATCGGCTCTTGGATTGGCGCTCGGCATTCCCAGCAAAGTGACCCTCCCACGCCTACGTGTTCGGTGACGACGTGCTCGGCAGGGGCGACCTGGACGGATGCGTGCGCCAGGTGCGCGCGTGCAGGCCGCCATCTTCGCGGACGTGGACTTCGAGGGCGCCGAGGACGGCGAGCGGCTGGTTTACGCGGTCGACGACGACCACTTCGGCGAGGAGGTGCCCGGCGGTATTTTGGACGACGACGAGCGCTTCGTCTCTCTGGGGTCGCTGGGCGTCGTCGACTGGCTCGGTCGGAAGCGCTTCTTGCAGAAGGTCGCTGTCGACAAGGTCGACAACTGGAAGCGGGAGCGCGAGGACGCGGAGGGCGACTCCAGGGTCCTTGGCGTCCATCGGAAGCAAGGGGGGCGGAACCTCCACCTGCACGGCTCGGTGCGCCTGTTCACCGAAAAACACTTCGACTACTCACCGCCCCCGCCCCCGACGGCGGCGCTCGAAGGCATGGAGTCAATTCGTGGCGGCCCAGGCTCGATGGTGGTCTACAAGGGCGAGCGGAGGCAGGACAGCGGCGTCGGGGACGGCACCGCCGCCTTGCACGAGCACCGTAAGAGCGCGGAGGTGTTCCGCCCGGCGCACAAGGCGGACCAGCTCAACATCCCGAGCCTCGCGTGCTTCCAGCAGCTCGTCCGCCGCCTGGTTCGGATCGAGATGGCAGTCGAGAGGAAGGTCAGACACCCCGATTACGGGGGCCTGGACCTGGTCATGGGTGGCCTCGCAATCGAGAGCGGCGCTGCATCGAGCAAGTGCTTGACGGAGTGGATCTACAAGAAGCGGGGCTAGCGCGCGCAGACGCTCAAATAATCTCGTCTCGCGCGCGAGGAGCAGTTCAAGGGAGGCAGAGGTCAAGGATG